TAATGTTCAGCTGAACCTGGAAGAAAAAAGAGGCTATTTCTGAGGATAAGAATCAGTGCAGAGACCAGTGCTTGAGGAGCTGGGATTGTTTTCCTCCTGMGTTTTTATCTTTGCAATTATCTCCTCTGGATGTCCTGAGTTGCTTCATTATTCACTATCATGAGGTCCTTGTACACATCTTCACGTTGTCTGGTGTATTTATGACCCTGAATGCCTTAACATCAGCAGCAAGCTTTGTCACTCCTTTTTGTTYCCATTCATTTTCAAGATTATTTCTGAATACGCTGAAATGAGCAGAGCCCTGCCCAGGTCCCTGTGGGGCTCCATTCCTGTCCTCCCTCCATTCAGTGCTGCTCTTTGAGAATCCTTTCACCAGATGTTTATCTGTTCCAAGCCTTTTCTCTTAATCCCACRACAGCTGCATTCCTGTAAGAAACTMGTGTGATGGACCCTTTGGAAATCCAGGCAGATATACCACCTGCTTATCGACCCCTCTGAAGAACTGTAATAGGTTTATGGAGTGTTCCCTTTTTCCAGGAAAACCAACTTTCTTTTCTTCACAGTATTTCACATATATCCAACTCTRCCCTAATGGGATTCTTAGTGACAATTTCATTTTGCCCAGGAGGGAACCTCAGACTTCAGGGTCAGTCTTATCCCCGAACCCTTAGCATTTGTCACCTTGAAGCTCTCAGGGCTGAGGCTGTTACACACAGTGATTACATGCTACAATTAAGTAATTGAACTGTTTCACCCTCGAGCTCCCACTGAGCACTAAGGTGAACCACCTCAGCCTGGTGCATTTGCACGCTCTAGTTTGGCTATTTATTCCTCAACTACTTCTGCTGACACTTGAACATGAGCCAAATCCAATGCCATGTCCATATAAAGATGACTTTTGGCACAGGAACATCTCCAAGCTTTTCCTCACTGACTACAGATGCAAAATATTCATTGTTTTTCTGTTCTGACCTTATCTCCTATGAATGCTTCACTTGCACCATAGCCAACTTCTGACTCTCCAGACTGACGTGCTTGAAGAAGTATTCATTGTTGTTTGCCTCTCCCTTTTGCAGGTTGCTGCTGTGACTGGTTTTGGCTTGCCTTATTTCTCTTTTTTTTTGCATTTGAATTATTAGGATACACATTTTTTGCTCATTTAGACAAAAAAGGTTTTTTATACATAAAGACTGGTTCCTTAAAGTCTGGGTATCAGAATGTGATCTAAGCTCTACACCTAATCAGGTTTGAGGTTTTGGGTTTTCCATCCAAAGATGTGCTGTTTGGTTTGACAGGATGCTGAGACACCAGGTTTTCAAGTGTGATACATTTCTCTGGACAAAATTCATCGCTGGCTGGGATGGATTTTGCCTGGCTTGGGCTTCAGGACAGTGCACCTTCACTGGGGGRAAGGAAGGAACATTCCTCTGGCCAGCTGTGGTTATTTTGGAAGCTGTTTTGGGGTCAGATCCCAAGAGAGCCCCACGAGTGGAGGTTTGGGGYTCAGGTGGAGGGGCTGTGATGCTCCCGGCCCCCTCGCCCGTTTGCCTGTGTGTGAGTGTCTGGGAGGCCCTGTTGCCATGGAGAAGCCATGGGAACTGTCTGCCTGGCTCGCCTGACTTTTTTCCGAGCACGAAGCAAAGGCATCTCTGGCTGTAATGAGCCGGGGGCCTGTGTCTCCTCTTCTGGGGTAACCCAGACCCCTAAATGCCTGGGAGAAACMCAAAGGTAGGGAGGAAACCCTAAAGGAAGGCAGGGAAGAAGCAGAGAGCAGGAGGGGAACCTGCAGGGAGATGGGTGGGAGCTCCTGGGGTGCTGTGGAGCAATGGAGCCGGGCACTTCTCCAGAGCAGACAGACCAACACGGGAAATTCCCCATGGATCTGTGGAAATCTTTCCCTGTGAGAGTGGTGCAGCCCTGAAACATGGACCAGAGCATTGCTTGAATTCTATCCTTGGAGGAATGGAGGCAATGTGCCTTCAAAGTGTGCCCTGCTCTGGGCTGGACCCTCCCCTGCCTCAAAGAGGGACCTCACTGAGGAACGGGCAAGGGAGAGTTTGAGGGGACCTCAAGTCTGAGCATGGGATGGACATGGAGGCATCCAGATTTTGATTCTGGAAATTGATAGCTCTGGTCATGGCTTCATGCAGACTGTAACTGCTTGCATGGCTCCAGTTCTCTACAGGTTGGGCGTTTTTTCAGCTGCTCCTTCAAAACAGATGGTTTTTCTCTCCTTTTCTGTTCTAGGAGCTCTTTTGTTACAYGACTGTGCAACAAAAAACCAGGCCRGGGGGATAGTCATGAGTAGAGGTTTAATGGGAGTCATCTTCTGGGAAAAAAACATCCAATGTATTGAGGTTGGGTTCTGTTTTGTACATGAAAAATGTCACTGTGAGCAACTGTGGGCTGTTTCCAGGTAGATCTGGTGGGAATTGTGTCAGGGATAGAGCAGACCTRCCTGTTAATTTGGAGGATGAATTGTATTTTTTAAGGAATAGCATTTGCCTCAACTGGCAAAATATTTAAACATAAAGAACATTTCCCCCATCTACTTTACATACAGGGAAGAAAGGGGGGGAGCACAGGCTGACCTTATTTTTTTAGTATTTCCTTGTCCTCATTGGGCACACATGGTATTTTTTTCTGCTCACAGCTTGGGTCTCAGCAAAGACACAGCTCTGAACATTTGTTATTCATTGTGAATTCCTCAGATTATGATAAAATCCTGCTTGGTGAGGTTATTTGTATCCTGCTCCTTTGTGTCCACACTRATCAGGGGGATTGGGTACTTTCTTCATCTTTTTGCCTCTCTCCACAGAAATTCTTTTTCACCATGTAGATTAATAGATCAAATAAACTTAATTTGTTCAAATCTTCCTATATTTTCTTGCAGATTTTACTGTGGAGTCTGTGGAGAGAGGACTGAAGCTTTCCCCCAACTTTTGGTCTCTTCATGGGGGGTCTGTGAAGGACAGTGAAACATGAACTTGTGCTATAGCCTTTCCTCAGGTACAGACAAGACAAGGTGTGCCTGTCACTCCCTCCTTCAGCTGCCACTTTTCACAAAGCCTGAAGAAACTTCAATCATCCATAAAACTTCTACCCCTCTGTTCAATATTGGTGAATGAGTGGCTCTGAATTCCTGGGATTCATGCACTCTGCTGCAGAGTCAGAGGGACAATCCAAGTGCTTTTTCTGTACATGTTATGAATAATATGTAAGAGCTTGCTGCCCCACTCATTCAAGTGCCCTGAAAGTAGGTTTATAAAATACTTTCCCAAGGAAAAACCCTTTWCCTAACCCTCCTAGGGATCAAAACMTACACCCATGAATTGATCTGGGRGCTGGAACCCCTCTGCTGTGAAGAAAGGCTGGAGGAGTTGGGATTGTTCAGATGGAGAAGAGAGGGCTCTGGGGAGACCTTCTTGTAGCTTTTCAATATATAATGAAGGCTTATCAGGAAGATGGTGGGAGACTTTTTATCAGGGTCAGGATAAGAGGAAGAGGAATAGATTTAAATTGTGCAACAGGAAGAAATTTTTTATGATGAGGGTGACAGAGCCCTGGCACAGGCTGATCAGAGAAGCTGTGACTGCCCGATCCCTGGGAAGTGTCCAAAGCCAGGTTGGACAAGGCTTGGAGAAATCTGGAATAATGAAAAATGTCCCTGCCATGGCAGGGGGTGGAGTAAGTTGGTTCCTTCCAACCCAAGCAGTTCTGCGAGTGTGTGATCTGAAAATCCTGAGGCTGGGCTGACTGAGTGATCAGTCAGCTCCTTGTGCTGGGTTTGTTTTCAAGCATCTGATGACCTCGAGGTGGGTGCTTGCTCTGGCGGGTGACACTGGGCACAAGGAGGTTTCTGAACACCCATCTCTGCCTCATGGCTCTGCTGCCCCCAGTGACTCTGGGAATGGCTGTGCTGCCTGCTGTGGGACAATGGTGGGGAGCAATGACCTGCTCAGGGGACAGAGCCAGCAGTGTTTGTGTCAGTCCTTCAGAGCTGTCGTATCCAAAACCCGACAGCCCGACCTTCATGACTGTGTGCGCCCCACAAGCAGAGGGACACGGCTGCACTCACCCACTGCCCTGCTGCCAACAGAGCGCCCAGCTGTGGAAATAAACCGTGTGTGAAACCTTTCACCCGATCTGTCAAAGGCARGCTGCAGTTTTGTGTCAAAATGACTGATTTTTTTTGCAGGTTGCACGTCTGCTTCCTGACAGGAGCCTGGAGGGAGCGAGCCCAGGGCCTGCCCTGGCAGCCGTGTCTGACGGCTGATGACTGGATGTTCACCTCGGGAAGAATCGTGGAATCAGAGTATCCCGAGCTGGAAGAGTCTCACCAGGACCGAGTCCTGTCCCTGC